AGCCTGGTATCGCGAACGCGAAGGCTTATGAGCCTGGGCAGGGGGAGGGGTATTATACCTATGCGAACGCGACCACCTGGACGCTAACGCGAAGGCTCGAGGAGTTAGTATTCCACGAAAGCCAGCCCAATTCCACGAACGCGAAGGTCTCTCAGGCATAGCTCATCGCGAATGCGATGAGCCTGTCGCAAACGCATAGACCAAATTCGCCTAGTAATTTTTAAGTTCAAAAACAGAATGCATTACGGGAATTTCACCATTTTTCATAAACTTCATCTTCTCCACACCTCTTGGGCGATTTTTGAAGAGGAACTTCACCATAGCTTCATAGATATGTAATCCTAAGCTCGTTTTCTTTCATTTTTATCAACACTCACTAGATTTCTAGGCCTAAAACATGAGATTAAGGGAAGAAAATTAGGGATTTGGGTAGAGTTAGGGCTTTTTGATTATTTGGAAATTTGACCTCGTTTTGGGGTTGGATTTCAAAACAAATTATATATTCGGGCTCGTGGGTGAATGGGTGATTGGGTTTTGGTCCGAACCTCGTGTTTTGACCAAGCGAGCCCGGGGTCGATTTTTGACTTTTTGGGAAGAATGATTAGAAAGCTATAAATAAGCATTGGAATTGGATTGTTTAGCATTTATTGATGTTATTAAGTCGATTATGTCTAGATACAATTGATTTGGAGCCAAATTCAAAAGGAAAAGTGGTGTTTGAGGTTTGAGTTGGCCGTGGAAGTTCGAGGTAAGTGTTTGGTCTAACCTTAGCTTGGGGGATTAGGAATTGTGTCCTATTTTCTACTTGTTTCTTGTTGAGTACGACGTATAGGCATGATGACGAGTATCTATACGTTGGTGTTGAGCATTACCGTGAGTCTTGAATTGTAATTTATTGTGTTCTTAAATAATACTACGGATGCTTAAGTTGATGACTCTCTGTATTGAGCAAGGATCGTGATTATTCTCGTGGAAATTACTTATGACTAAGTATTAGTATTAGATGAGGTAGTTAGATGTTGGACAAGTTTGGTTATAGCTGTTTCTCCCTTGCCGGGATGTTGTTACTTATATTGTCGATTTCCTTGCCAGGAAAGTGTAGTCCTTTATTGATCCCTTGTCGGGACTCTTGTTATGATTGTTATTGATTGTATATGTGGATTGGGTTGCACGCTGCAACAATGATATATTTGGACCGGGTTGCACGCCGCAACAATGATATATTTGGATCGGGTTGCACGCCGCAACAATATTATGTGCGGATCGGGTTGCACGCCGCAACAGTGATAAATGATATGGATCGGGTTACGCGCCGCAACAGTGTTGATATATATATTGGGATCGAGTTGCGCGCCGCAACAATTGCTGATACAAAGTGTTATATAGATTGGATACAAATTTCTTATTATTTTGCTGTGAAATCTAAGCTGTTCTTATGGTGTTACTCTTTCGTACTGCTCAGTCTTTGTTTACTCTTATTACTTACTGGGTTGGTGTACTCACATTACTCCCTGCACCTTGTGTGCAGATTCAGGTATTTCTAAACTGGTAGCGGGTGTTAATTACTCAGTGGCAGGTTCATCGGAGTTAGCAAGGTAGCTGCCTGACGTTCGCAACCCTGTTCTTCTCCCTCTTATCTTTCTTAGATTGTTTTTAGTATAATTTCACTCTTCATTGTATTCAGACCTTAGTAGATGCTCGTGACTTGTGACACTCCGATGTCGGGCTTATGTTATTTTCTTCTGCAACTGGTTATTTAGACTTTATGTTATGAGATTCGGTTAATTTAATAGCTTAAAAATAACTTTTATGAAATACTGGTTTGATTTGGGATTTGTATCAGCTTGCCTAGTTTTATGATAGACGTCATCACGATCGGGTCGGTTTTAGGGTCGTGACACTGAGATGCAAGTTTATCGACCGGATTCCCTGTTAAAAGTAGACTAGGTTCTCAAGAAAGTAGTCACATGAAGATGGCAGGGGTGAGGCTGAAGTAAATCTGTCAGGAGGCTCTGCAACAGAATTACTCTTTGGCAGAGGCTGAACATGAGCATATATATACTACATTGCATGTGGTATCCGAGTTGGAGCATGTATTTGCCGGTGTGACGATGGTGTAATATGAGGTGCACGGACTGGTGCTCGAGCAGGAACCATATGCGGGCGACTCTTCGCCTTTCATCAATTGAGAAATTCAAGGTGAAGTTGAAAAGAATCCAGCTATATTTTCTAATGCTATTATCTCCACCTGTTAGAAGAAGCAAATCAGTTTGGGAGGGAAGAATTTAATGGCAAAAGAAAATTAATCTAGGGAAAGGAAGATATTATCTTAATGCTACAAGTAGATGAAGTTTCATTTAAATACCTGTTATATAATTTAATTGTTCAATGGCTAAATGTCTACGTTCCCCTGGATATCAATAAAATTACCTTTACCTGATCAAAAGAAAATGTCCGATGGGTGAATAGGCAATCCAGACATTGACTCAAGAAACGATGTGAGGTAGATCCAGCAAAGGGGTGGTGCATAAGCTGCATTTATTTTATAAGTCACTTGACATATGTGATTACAATTCATATTTAATGAACGTGATTTACAGGCAGTATTCCTTTTGATGGGAATACGTTCTTGTAACAAACTAGTTAATTTGCTTGCGCTACGCGCGATCATATAAAACCATTCCAAGTATAATATAATACCAAAAGTTAAAAGTAAAACAAACATTAAAAAAGATATATACACATAAAAATAATTTTAAGATAAAAATTAAAATATAAAAAAAGTTATTTCAACGCTCATTGTATAAAGAGCAAAATATGTAATATTAGCACTACTATTGGCTTTTGTGAGGCTCCCATGCTGGACTTTAAAGTCTCACTCATGCATATGAGAGGTTGTGGTTGGCAGGAAAACCGTTTGTAAAGCTCGCATCTAAGGAACAAATTGTTTTTATATTGTTAGTGATAATACAAATACACCCAATAATAACATATTTGTGTTGTTAGCAAAAATAAAAAATAAAATAAAAAAATTAATAACATTAATTTTATTACTAATAAACATCAATGATGAAATGGGAAGAGAATCAGAATATCTCCAATAGAGAGATTGTAATGGAAAAATTAGGAAAGTGAAAAAATAGAAACTGATTCTAAATCCTGATTTACCTCTACCCAAGAGTCGCATCCTCTACAGAATTAAAACTTAAATAGACCACACCATTTTCTTTTTGCTAATATTGAAATATGAATGCTTTTAATGAATTTAGATGTCGTCGGCAAGATCGTTTTAAAATATACATTTATAAACATTTAACTGCAGTAATTGTTAATTCTAGATTACTTCTACAAACTACCGCAAAAAGATTACCTCTCTGGACTACAGAAGCTCACAAAATATAACACAAGTTGTTTAATTGTATGAAGGAATTTTTTTAGCATTGAAAAAGCAAAGTAATTTACCCCACTAATGAAACACCAAGATGGTGTCAGCTTTACAAAAATAAAATGATATTGTACAGCAAAGCTGCCAAAAAATCTAACCACCGATAGAAGTAGGTATATTCACTTTGCACCAAAAATAATGAAGTAAGAGAAAGAGAAACTCTTGAATCTTGAGTAGCTTAAATGAGAGAAGAAACTAAACCTATTTTGTTAATTCATTTGAAGCAAATTAAATATGAGCAGGTTTAGTTGCATAAAGAAAGCCGCAAAGCAATTGTGCTCCTTCCATATTCAACGCCAATTCATATACGAGTCCTCATACCTTTAATATAAAAGTGTTTATTCTACATTGACACTGACAAATTCTCACTAATAATTATGAATACTTCGAAATAATAACGTTATGGTCGTAGATCAGACAAAAAGTATTTCTTTTTCAAGGACAGAAGTAAGATGATGAGTAGGATTTCAAGACTGTTATTCTGCCTAATAGCTTTTTTAACGAAAATTCTCAAATTCCTTGACGTTTCTTGCTTTTAACACAAAGGAAACTCCATGAATTTTCTTTGTGTTCTTTCAAAGAACTGAAACCCAAGTATGGGCCAAAACCTAGCAAAAGGAAGCTTTTGTTTGGCAGAATTGTTGGCGGAAGTGACGAACCTTAATGCATCCAGAATATTCCCAGATTCTGGCAAAGACCAAAGACGACTACAATGTATAGATCTTTCAATTAGCTTCCAAATCCCGTTGGTTTAATTTATAAACTTTTGAGCTTTCTAGCATAAGGCAAAATTCATGGTGAGACTTTTGGGCTTTTTGATCAAGGCAACGGTTGCTTCTTAATTTGCTTAAATCATGTGATTAAATTGCATGTTAACTATTCTGTTACATTAGCCATTAAAGGTGAAATTATTTGAGGTATTAATGATGGGGACGTTTCGTTTTCTAAACTGAAAAAACGAGATAGGATAAAGAAGGGAGGGAGGTGTAACTAAGACTATGTAATTAAGATGTGATGAAATTTTAATCTATAGCACATAAATATAGAAAAATAGGAAAAATGTCAAAAAATTGAGAAAAAAGATAAATGTGATTCATGGACAAAGAAACATGCCACGTCACCTTCTCCATTCCCAACTTTATATTTATATATAGATACATTTCATGAATATAAATCGCAGTTGAAGAACGCGACTTGTAAATCGCTATAGGTTGAATGCGGCCCTTTCAAAGCGAAATAATCACTCCTCTAGCTTATTCTGCTTGATAGTGTATAAAACGCAATTAACAAATGCGACTCATAAATTGCAATCATTAAACACGACTTACAAATTGCAATCACTGAATGCCGCAATAAAAGAAATAATTTATAAATCGCAATAAGTGCTGTTCATAAGGTGAGTTATTTATAATTACAGTTGCTATGATTTAGAAGTCACAATTTACGAATACGATTTATAAACCGCGGTTGAATGCAACTTGTGCGTGCCGGGACAGTATTCTACTTATTCTAGCAAAGGGCGCTTTTGCTCCAATAAGGTTATTCAGAAAAGAAATTCCAAAGCGGAAGAGATGGCTCTCCATATTGTGTATACTGTTAAGGACATTAACATTTTTCCTTCGTAAAGTAGTTGCAGTGAATGACAACTGAATACTAGTATTATTGCACTGTGGAGAACTATTTGGAAGGCTTAGTAGCCAAATCTATGCCAAGAGCTAACCAAATGTGTAGGTAAAATTTAACTTATGGACAGCGTATACTTTTTTCTAGTAAAAACTTATGGACAGCATATACACTAGCTATCTGCCAAGAAGCTGTCCAGGAGACGATCAGAGTTCATCCTCCGATTCAACTGAGAAGAATCATGAGATTTCTGGCCCATGATTTGACACAGCATCTGGCCAAAGATAGACTCACAGCTCTTCATCTGATTCTGCTGAGAGTAACCATGAGAGATATTCTGATCCTTGATAGAACACAGGATCTGTACCGCAGGGTGGTGTTATCCTTTTCCGCATAATTGCCTCGAAAACAGGAAGCTTCCTCTTCCTACCACCTCTGGGTCTGGAACGGAATTGCTCGTCAGCCTCTATGAAATCACCCTACACAAGACAATATCAACACGCCTCAAGTCACTCTCACGAATATTAGAAGCAAACGGACCTGAATGACTTGTGCTTTCAAGCAATATATAAATTCTACTTACAGGAGTATAAACATGGCAGCCAGACTTTTCATGTCTATCTCTCACATGCTTGAAGGCAAATTTCATATCACAACCAACAATGCTACATGAGAATGGTTTATCCCCCAAGTGCACAGCTTTGACGTGCTTAATAAGATTTGATTTCTGTTTTTCAAGTAACAAATATTTCAGTGAGAACACTATTCACTCTTATGCACTTAACTGGATGCAGTGCAGGCTTGGTTGGGGTTAAACATTGTTGGTTTGCTGCATACGTAATTTTTCCTCACACTAATAATGAGTTAGTGCTATTGCTTTCTAAATTCATCACTACTGTTCCACTTAACAGAAAGGAGCTTTATTTACATATAAGAGAATGCAGCAGTCTTACAGTGGAGAAAGTGTGCTGACAATCCTGGAATTCACATTTTATTCTTTCCGATGTAGACTCTTCTTCATGCGTCCGGAGATGCCGCTTAATATTCTTCTTCAATTGCTTGGTTCCACATATTTCACACACAATATGCTGGTGGCAACTCTCTATGTGTTCCTTGAGGCATTTCTCATTTGTGAAATGTTTCATACAGCCTGGCTCTAAACAAAGTGCCTCCATCGTCTCCAACTTAACTGCATGAATACATGGCAATTTATGGTGTCATTATTGGAAGTTTTCAACACCAGAAAAGGATAATCAATAATACTTCAGAGAAACATAAAATTTTGAAGTTTGACTTGCCATGAGAATCCTCATGTTTCTTTAATTTGGATGCAAATTTAAACACCTTCCCACAACCAGGTTCTGAACAGACATAGTGCTTTGGAAGATTGGCCTCAGGGGAGGCACAGTGGTCATGCATCTCTTTGACATGCCGAGTCATGTTGCCTTGAATACTAAATGAGCGTTTGCAACCATCAACGGGACACTCAAACAACTTCCCTTGGTGCTGCAAGAGATGTCTCGTCAAGTGATCCTTTCTACGGTAGCTGGACTGGCAATCATCTATATGGCAAACAAATAGCCTCTGTTCATGCAAAAGATCAAGAAGAAAACATTTTAAGAATGTTTCAATCTGTGGAGGTCCTTGACCAAAGTCCACATATGCTAATGGAGAGAAAAGATAAGCTTTTTTGGTATTTGGGAGGAGGGGGAACTGGGATGAGTCTCTAACCACCAAGATTATAAGGCGTGATTGAGGCTCACTTGATGGAGCTTCTCAGGAGGTCCCCCTTCCTGATACTGATCCAGTCAAGGAAAGATACCTGCCTCTTGCATTTTGGAGTTCTTTATGCGGGATCCAATGCTTCACACCTTCACATAATTCCACAATATTTCTCAAATTACCTCAATCTGCAAAGTCGTTAAACATTAAATGTATATAAAAAAAAAAATCAGAAAATATGAAGGCTTATTATAACCTCAAAACTGAACTCCCAGTAAAGTAATAAGAGCTCGTCAACATCACAAACGAAGAACACACACAAAAGATACCTCGAGTGAATGACTCTGCATATGCTGCTTCAAATGAGCAGGCTTCTGAAAGCTCACACCACATTCTTCACAAATATTCAGTTTTGGACATTTCTTTATCTTTGCATCTTCATTTGCCTCATCTTTCCGCTTCTCCATTTCATCCTATTAAAAAAAACAGGACCCATTTCGGTTTTCCCTTCCTCTGACTAACCAAATCAACATCTCTCTAAACACATAACTAAAAGTTTAAGCTCAACCACAAGAAAATCTTCAATTTTATGTTCACCTATGATTCCCAATTTATACTACACAACACACGTTAAAGGCCTCGTTTTTTTTGATGAATAGGTATATTCAATACATATAAAACTCTGTGCTACTAATACAACACTTGTTTTCCAATAAACGAAAAAGAGCACATAAAAAGACAATAATACTAGTATAGAAATCCAAAAACATAATAATTCGTGTATTATTTATTCCAGGCATAACAATCTATTATAAGTAGTCCGTGAACCAAACAAATTTCACATTTTATTTCTGGTCAATTAAGCTAATAATTACTCATTATCAACTTTAGAATACAAGAGAGCTAGTAAAAACAGCCAGATCTATTTGCAGCTTATTAAGTAAGTGATAAATTGATTAATTGGATGCAAAGCAAAACGTAAATCCAGAAAAGAAGAAACACATACTTGATGATAGGAGAGGATATGAGAGGAGATAAGGGACTGTTTGGAGCGGCAAATCCCACAAAATTCACAGTAATATCGTCTTATATCTCTGAATATTACTTCTCTCTCTTCTCCCATTTCGCCCAATATCTGCACAGCCACAAAACACCAAAAACCCTAGTTCAGGTCGACTGTGGAACTTGTGTCCTTAATTTATAGTTGCCGAAAACTTGAAAATTGTTAAAATTCCCTCCAACTTCTGAAATATGACACTTTCCCCCCACCAGGTATGCCTCAAAGTTTCACCATGAATCCATATTAACGGATCGTTTGGTTGGAATACAATTTATACCGGTATAATATACCGATATAAGTTAATTGGGATAAAGTTATGTTGGGATTAGTTATGATGAGATTGTTGTTTATTCATTGTTTGGTATGTTGCATTAAGAATGACAATTGCATAATTTCTAAGAAGAAGGTATAAGTTATACCGGTGCTAATTACCCCACCTTCTATAAGGTATAAGTTATCCCAGTATTAAAATTAACACCGAGATAACTTATACCTGATTTGTTAACCAAACAAAGTATTAAGGTGATATTAAATTTTTATACCACCCTATACCTTCTTATATCTCATACCAAACGACCCCTAATTGTGTTATGTTTGGGCACTTACATAAGAAGAAATATTCAAGTTTCAGAAAATGAAATAAATTTTTTTTAAATATAAAAGGAATACCCTTTTCTAAGCACATCTTTTTTTTCTCAATAAACGGTGTTATTGGACACTTAAAAAATTATTCAGTTTTAGAAAATCGTTTCTTTTATTAAAGGAATATTTTATAGATAAGAAAGGCACATCTTTTTATTTTTATTTTTACTCTTTTGAACAAATTTTCAATTGAATCGTGTGATAAGATCGTGTAAAGCTTAAAGTCTTAGGCCTTGATATTTTTAATTGAAGCAGTGTAATTTTTTTTATGATTAGAGCTAATCTAAATATAGACTTTTTACACGCTTTGCTCCAATAATATCAGAAGAAACTTGTGTTATTCTATAAGTCTTCTCTTAAAAAGAATTATATATGGATAACATTTAATTATTTAAACCGTTTGGATTAGAAATGTACTCTCCTAACCGTTCTTTAAAAATTGAAAACAATTGTATTCGAATTAAAAAAAAAAAAAAAAGGGAGAGAGAGATTTTGTTCATCGAAAACGAAACCAAAATGCTTTCTAAAGACTCAAAACCAAAATGCTTTCACAGAAAAGATTCAAACTTTGCCTTTAACAGCCTCAAAAGATTCAAGATTTTTTAACAAAAGACCATCTATAATGTCCCACAGTAAAACAAGGGAATTAATTATTTTTCGTTTATAATCTACTTTTCTTATAGATCCCAAAAGTAAAAGAAATTCAAACAATACCCAACATTCAATAAATATAATAAAACTATAAAATCAAGTTAAATTACTACAGTATAAAACTTCAAAACCACACATACACACGCTATAAGGGCCTTAACGACTTGTTTGGATGGTTGTTACCCATTGTATCGTATCGTATTGTTACTTTAAATACAATGTTTGTTTTGATTGTTACTTAAATTTTATTGTATCGTAATGTTAAATCCATCGTTACATAACGACGAAATGTGTCACTTTATGTAACGACCGATTTGGTGTGGTCGCGTCGTTACCTTGTCTTTTTCTCTCAATCTCACCCTTTGTTATTATTAAATTATTTTATTTTATCATTTACCCTACTTTTTTATATAGTAATTTTACCTTGTATCGTAATTTTCTTTATAATATTGCAAGTTTATTCTTCATATTGCTGGTGCGTGATATCACGAAACGATGACAAACGACACAATCTATCCAAACATTGTATTTATCAAACGATACAGTACAATACAATACAATACGATACGATACATTATGAAACGATGTGTAACAACCATCCAAACAAGCTGTAAAAGTTCACAACTTTATGTCTACACATTTGTATGAATACTAAATTGTAGGGAAAAAAGGAGAATTACTTCAATCTTGGTTAGAGCTCTTTTTCTTTCTTAAGGTTATACTCTATTTTGAGGAAAAATTTGTTCTATTTGAATTTTATTCATATTCAGTTCAAATTCTAGTTTGATTTTACCAACCTCGATCAATAATACCTCAAAACTAAATTATTTGAGACAACACAAATTCTAGTATACATTATTAAATTATTTTGAGGTTACTACGTAATTATGACTTATTACAAGCATGCATAAATTTTAAAATATATTAATTAAAGTTTTTTTTATCATATCCCTAATTCATTTATTATTCATCTCTTTGATTTCTTTTGTCCTATAATTTTGATAATTTACCAACTTGTGAATTGCACCTATTTTGTTCCATACTTCCTATAATATTATTACAAAGTCTAGGTGTTTAAGTACTATTCCAATGTTTTTCCTCGTGGATGACAAAGGGTCGATAATCCTTTATTTTCTTCCTCTGAATTCTTTGTATTTTTCTCGTTTTCAAATGGACGAAGAGTTTAGCTGGTATAAGCACAAACAAAAAATCTAAGAACCAAATTTCCATAGAAATAAGTAGCAGAGAAGTAGATCTGATAATACATTATAGAATGATAAGTTGTTCGGCTTCTTTGGATGGTTGTTAGTTATTACCTATTATATTGTATCGTATTGTTATTTTAAAAATATTTGTTTGGATTGTAGTATAAATTTTATTGTATATCATTAAATCTGTCGTTACGTAATGACGAAAAGTATAATTTATGGAACGACCGATTTGGTGTGGTCGCGTCATTATCTTATTTTTCTCTCATCTAACCTTTTTTTATTATTAAATAATCCTATTTGATCATCTACCCTACCTTTTTATATAATAATATTACCTCATACCTTATTTTTCCTTTAAAATATTGCAAGTTTACTCTTCATATTATTAGGACATGATATCATGAAATAACGACAAATAATACAATTTATCTAAATATTGTTGTTTATAACAAATTTATGCAGAGAAAAATAAAACCGCAATCACAAACAACTATAAAGAAAAAGAATTTTATTGATAAACATTGTAGGTTACAGCTCTGTTTATCCCTTGATTCTTCCATCCGATTTATTCTACATGATTCGAGGGCCTTAGCGGCGTATTTTTCGAAAATAGAACTTTAAGCAAAACATATTTGACATGTCTTTGATCTCTTAATGAATATTTCAAGAGTTTCATGCATTTTCGGAGATCTCATATTTGATCTTTTTGTGCATATTCTTAGAGTTTATGGAATTGCTCAAATCTTCTTGAAGGACACATGTAGCCTTATTTATAGGCGTGAATTAGGGTTTGAGTGGAGTAGTCACCAAGTAACCCTAATAGACTCCTAATATTTCAGGAGTTATCTTGAGTTTAGGATTTATCTTGATCTATTAAAATTTCAGTGTCTACAAATGCCCCTACTTCAAGGTTTGCCAATGTGCAGGCTTGTTGAAACTTGAAGACGAAACTTGAAGTACCCGATTATCGCAACAGATAATCTTGAAACTTGAAGCTTTTTATTTGCAGGAGGAAGAGATGAAGAGCAGAACTGGTCTAACTGGACGTACCAATTTGTTTGCAACTAATTTTCAACATATGAAAAATAAACTGCAATCACAAAATAAGAGAAAAATATTTTTACTAATTAATTGTGAGTACAATTCTGCTTCTCCCTTGATTCTTCTCTCCTGATTATCTCCGTGATTCGAGGGATGAAACCGCGTATTTCTCGAATGTAGGATGATGCAGACTTCTTGGGGATATATTTGATCTCCAGCTTCTTGAACTCTTTGATTGTCAAGAAGTATCCGGCCATATTTTGATCTCTTTGTGAATATCCCAAGAGTATATGAGATTTTGAGTCACTTCTTTGCGACGGTCGATAAAGAGGAGTGAGTTAGGGTTTAGGGTAGAGTAACCTCCAAGAAACCCTAATATACGTCTAGGATTTCAAGAGTCCTGTAATATCTTTAATTTAGGATTTGGCTTGATCCGTTAAAATTTCGATGTCTACAGTTTGCGACTGTCGATTCTTGTTGAAAGCTCCTAGTAAATAAAAAGAAGATTTCTAGTGAAATGAAAATTGTGCTTAGACAGCCTCTTTTCTGATTCACTGCACTAAGTAGTGTTTATCTTGAACTGGTGCAAATAATTTGAGAACACTAACACCTTCAAAATGATTTTGACAGAAGAAATTCTAACAAACAAACATTTGTATAATCAACGCCTCTATCCTAAATTAGAGAGGGTCAGCTTATATGAATTGTTTGTATCTAATACGCTTTATTAACAACAATAACAACAATAACAACAACAACAAAACAAGAAAGAAACTAGAAGGGTAAACAGATCGCATATTTTGACAGGTTTGCTCTAACAAAGAGTGAAACTTTTTTGTGTGTTAAGGGAATAGCAAGCTGTGTTAGGAGGGAATTCAAATAAAACACTTTGTAGTATGTACAAAGGCACGTTCAGAAAATAAAAGTGGTAAAAAAATAATTAATCTTCATATGCCTGATCCCGAAACTTTGACTGCAGATGAATGGACCTATGTCATTCAAGGTCAAGTGTGACTAGGGGTGGCAAACGAGCGGATCAGATCGAATATGAGCGGGTCAAAACGGGTAATTTAAAAAAAAAATTATCCGATCTGATCCATATTTGAGACGGATAAAAACGGGTTTATCCGGCGGATAATATGGATATCCATATTATCCATGGCTTCTTAAATATGATCATTTATGAGAGAATTCCTAGTCTTCCAAATTTGAGGAACTCCAATTTGAGGCTTTACAAATGTAAAAGTTAAACACATTAGTTATTTTTTTGGTTAACCATTTTCTAAGGGAATAATATGGTTCTTTATCCATATTCGACCCGTTTTTAAATGGTTCATTATTCAACCCATTTTTGATAGATAATATGAGTGGATAACTATTTTATTTTGATTTGACCTCGAGACTGAAGCAATTACAGGTAGCAATTAACTAGAAAACCACGTTTACTGGCATGCCAGCGGTAAAAAAAGTCACTAAAGCAGGAAACAAGGCCCCTGATTTACTGCCAAAAAGTCAGTTGGAGGCAGCCTATAGACTTCAATAAAAAAACATAATAGACATAAGAAATTGAAACTGAGGCATGTTTTATAGTAACTCCTATGGAATCTAAAAACTGGCTCTCCCTCGACCAGAGCAAACAAATATTATGCCAAAGAAATACAATAAAAGACAATCTACAAAAGTATAATTCTCATATCATCCACCAAACTTGCCACGTAAACGTTAGACACCAATATAATTTACGAGCAAAAGTAATGGAGTATAAACCAGAAAGTATCAAAGTATATGGGAATAGAAGCATGCTAAAAAATATACTCATATATAAGAAAGTCTGTGAACCAAGAGTTCTAAACAGCTGTTCCGGACGTCAAACTAGTGGAAAATCCTTTGGTAACACTTCTTCACTGGAAACCCTCTCCATTACAGCCACCTCATCACAGTAGATGACAGTGGCACCAGCAAAAGTTCTGCACCACAAATTTCGCAGCAATGTCGACTCCATCCTTGCTTTGGTAGCGCCACAAGTAGTAAAAAGGAGTCAGTCCCTTCACATTGAAATATACAGTGAGAACTATTAAAAGGTTAGCTTGAATGTCATTGTGTATGTCCTATCAAATAAATCTTGATCTTGACTATGACTCGACAATCGACAGACTTGTTGAAGCTGACAGTCACAACAACAAACTCTTCTCCTGTCCTTTTGGATGTAGCATAGTCTCCTTTTTTGATACTCAATTTCTGATCTTGTAGATGGATAATATTTGTGACTTCCTGAAGAAAGAAGCAAAGATAGGTTTATGAGATATCAGAACAAGCATGAACCCACGTATTACTTTAGACAGCATGCAGATCAAGATGTTTCTGCAAGGAAAGGAAAACATAAGTTCTATGCTATTCTGCATGCAAAAGAAAACAAAAGTTCTAGTATGTTATTCTCCATGCAAAAGACTAAATAATTTCTATGAATGAATAAATGTACATGTACATTCTAAAAAAGAAATAACACAACGTGGGTTCATCAAGCAACAATAGATCAAATTTAATGAACAATGGCCAAGCAAGAATTATTCTCAAATTCAACATCAACCATAAAATATTTTAGTCTATTTCTTACAACTGGTGTGAGCGCATGTAAATGACCCTCCTTGTTAGTGTCAAGCAAAAGAGCGTTAACTTTAGATTGTCAAAGATGGATTGACTTCTAGCATCTTCCCCGTTTTGCAACTCCCAAATTAAGTTGTTAATGTGCGGATCCATATCTTAAGACGAATAAAGAGTCTAATGACGAAATTATGAAGCCTGAAACTCTACAAATATAAAAAGGCATTACATCTATTCTGAAAGTTGAGGCAAATAAACGAAAAGACAGCAATATATTATTAGAGATAAAATAATCTTAACAGACAAAAACTTTGATGAGAGGCCAGAACAACAAAATAGCTATGCAAAATAATGTCAAGACATAAGCTAAAATGATGTGGCAAATAAAGTCATCCATTAGCTCTGAAGATTAACTTGAGACTAGATTCAATACTTTTCTGCCATAACAAAACTGTAATGTACTCACGACTTGAAAATAAATTGGAAGTTTTATTGATCAAACGAATTTGTACAATCAGTTACAAGCTTGGGAATCAATACATCAAATCCTAAATTGAACTACCTAATTCAATTGATAAGAAGAATTAAGGAGAAGGAGATAGAAGAGGAATGAGAAGAGGAAGAAGGAGAGATCAGAAGTAGACTCCACGGAAACATAGTTAGAGAGAGAAAAGAGGAAGAAGAGATATTGAATATTCACCAAAAACTAATACCCCTTATACGAATGTGTACTATATATGAGAGTAAGCAGGTGCATCTCACGTGACCCTAATTAGTTTGGGTCAGGACAAAAACATAATCCTTAGATGTAATATACTAATGATTTGAAATGCAAATTGGGACTGAAATGGTGAATTTTATTGGATTGTCAAATGTTACAAATGAATCAACGATTGAGAATGTAAATTCACTTTAAGAATAAAAGCTTAATCCAAATGGCTTCTAATCTCCATTGAGCTCCAAGCTTTCACTTGTAGAATCAATGACGGTTGTTAGAGAGAAGGAGAAGAGAGTGAGAAGGTTAGAGATAGAATTGAAGAGAGGAATAATAGAATTTTACCAGATCATAACTGCCCATTCGTTAGGCCCAGTTTCGGTTATAAACTCCTTCAGCTAGCCCAAGTCCGTTAGTGAGCTAATAACAAATCTGAGCCCTTTATTTTATTGAAATATCTCAGCCGTCCACTTTATCATGTGCTTCTCACGTGCGGCTTTATTTCATTTACCTAATTTCCTTCTTCATTTCANTGGTATTTTATGTTGTTTTATTATGAGTCTATTGATAGTACTAATATAGTGTCTCTTGTCGCCTTTTTGAGCCGAGGGTCTCCTGGAAACAGCATCTCTGCCTCTCGGGGTAGAGGTAAGGTCTGCGTACATATTACCCTCCCCAGACCCCACTTGTGGGATTTACACTGAGTTGTTGTTGTTGTTGTTGTTGTACCCTATGTATGCTACCGGAAACACCTTTCACATCTAAACAGTTTTTTTAATAACTCAAATTTGTTTTGAAATTTAAGTTTAAACTTCGATGTGATGTTATATCGATCAAAGTAACTTTTCAATCATTATTCTAATTCTCTTTTCCACTCTCACTAATAAAATATGTACATTCAAATTGACATTTTAAACATTACTGTTATAAACAATGAAAATCCGAGGTCTTATTATATAGTCAAATTAATATTAAACTTAAACTTCATATAGTTATAGCCCTATAATATTGCTTCCATAATAGAATGCACAAGTCCTTTTCTTTTACATATTTCTCAACTCCTGCTCCATAAAATGTGTTGTAGTCTAGCACTTAAATGTTGTTGTCAACCCCTTTAATACTGAAAAACATCACAAGAAACACTATGTTACATCTTATATTTCACCTTGTACCATGACCATACAGCACCTATTTTTATACCTGACCAAACATGGAAAATGATCCAGAAAATAGTTTCCCAAAGTACTTATAGAAAAAATAGTTTCCCAAGGTGGTGTTTGCACCGGCTTGCCAACAAGTTTAAATATTGCCTTTGAAAAATATTTTCCTCCAAACAAAATAACTCTATATAACTTTAATATCTACTTTCATTTTTCAAAAGGTGGTGTTTGGACCGGCTTGCCGCACCTGGGCTAATCCTACGGGATACTTCCTACCTCCCACTAGCACATATTAGAGGTAACTATGTTATAAAAGCTTAGACACACGAGAAGAAATCACCTAGCTTTTTGCTTCTACTAAAATTGGAATTTAGTCTCTTATGGTCCATTCCAACTTCATTGACTGCTAGACCGAAACCTGACCGTTAATATTTTCTTTCATTAACACTAATATATTATATCCAACTTCATTCACCCTTAGACAACTTAAAGTACTTTCTTTCATTACCACTAATATAATAACACAACACAAAAGGACCATTAATATCAAACACCTTATACAATGTAATATACTAATGATTTGAAATGCAAATTGGGACTGAAATGGTGAATTTTATTGGATTGTCAAATGTTACAAGTGAACTAACGATTGAGAATGTAAATTCACTCTAAGAACAAAAGCTTAATCCAAATGGCTTCTAATCTCCATTGAGCTCCAACTTTTCACCTGTAGAATCAATGGCGGTTGTTAAAGAGAAGGAGAAGAGAGTGAGAAGGTTAGAGAGAGAGAGAGTTGAAGAGAGGAATAACAGAATTTTACCAGATCATAACTGCCCATTCATTAGGCCCAGTTTCGGTTATAAACTCCTTCAGCTGGCCCAAGTCCGTTAGTGAGCTAATAACAAATCTGAGCCCTTTATTTTATTGAAATATCTCAGTCGTCCACTCTGTCATGTGCTTCTCACGTGAGGCTTTATTTCATTTACCTAATTCCCTTCTTCATTTCCTCTCTAGCCGACATCTAACAATACCCCTCCGATGAAAACAATGACCTTGTCCTCAAGGTCAGAGACTAGCCACAAATTCTGGGAACTTGCTTTTGAGGTATCCCCAATCTTCCCAAGTTGCATCCTCCGCCTTCAAGTTAGCCCATTGAACTAAAACCTTGACACTCACTCCGTTATTCACCTTCACCATCTTCCTTTGCAAGATTGCTACTGTTTGGACTAAGATGCAACCATCCCCATCACAGATCGGTGGCTATGGTTGTGAATGATGTCCGGACCTACACGCTTCTTCAACTGAGAGACATGGAACACAGGGTGGATTTGAGATCCCGGTGGTAGCTCCAATCGGTAAGCCACTGACCCTATTCTTTGTAGTATCTTGTAAGGCCCATAGAACTTAGCACTTAGCTTAAGATTCTTTCTTACTGCGACTGAAGCTTGCCTGTAAGGTTGAAGCTTCAGGTAAACCCAATCGCCCACCTCTAAAACTCTGTCAGATCTGTTCTTATCGGCATAAAACTTCACTCTTGCTTGGGCTTGAGTGAGGTTGTCTTTAAGGATCTGCAGCATCTGCTGTCTTTGTGCTATCCAAGTACCCACCGGTGTTTGAGATGGTTGAGGTAGTGACCCCAAGGGAATTTGAGGTGGGGTAAAACCATACAAGGCCTGAAAAGGAGTGGTCTTTAAGGAACTGTGATGATTAGTGTTGTACCACCATTCTGCTAATGGTAACCATTTCACCCACTGTTTCGGATTAGTAAACACCATAGCCCTGAGATATGCTTCCAAGCATCTGTTTAATCTCTCCGTCTGCCCATCTGTTTGAGGATGGTAAGAGGTGGACATGTTCAGCTTGACCCCCATGGACTTGAATAGTCTCTGCCAAAACTGGCTAGTGAACACACTGTCTCTATCTGAAATAATTGACTTAGGCAACCCATGTAGTTTGTAGATGTCTTTCAAAAATTGATCAGCCACATCTTGTGCAGTGAAAGGATGTTTGAGAGCTAGGAAATGGCCATACTTAGTAAGCATATCCACCACCACTAGTATAGCATTCCTGTGTCCTGAAGAAGGTAGTCCTTCCACAAAGTCCATGGCTATGTCCTGCCATGGTAACTCAGGAATTGGTAAAGGTTGTAGCAACCTAGGTGTATGTATATTTTCTGTCTTCACCCTTTGGCAAGTATCACATTCTGAAACCCATTTATAGACATCAGTTCTCATATTAGGCCAGTAGAAAATCATCTTCATCCTTTTGTAAGTACCCTGCTGTCCCGAGTGTCCCCCCAAGGGAGACTGGTGCATTGCTTGAAAAATCTTGATTCTTAGGTTTGTTCCCTTTCCAATGTAGATTTTCTGGTCATACCTCAAAATCCTCTGCAGTAAGGTATAATTGGAACTGTTATGGGTATTTGTTATCAGTTCAGTGATCAATTTGTGAGCATCAGAATCATGCTCATAACTATGCTCTACCTCGCTCATCCAAGTAGGCTCAGTAGAAGATAAGGCAAACAATGATGATTCTTCCTCTTGTCTCCTGGATAATGCATCAGCCACCTTATTCTCAGCACCCCTTTTATATTGGACTTCATAATCAAGTCCTAATAATTTGGTCAGACCCTTCTGTTGCAGAGCAGTGGTTACTCTTTGCTCCAGTAGAAACTTTAAGCAGTGATGGTCTGTTCTTATTACAAAATGGCCTGCTTGGAGATAGTGTCTCCATTTATCCACAGCTGATAGTAAGGCCATGAATTCCTTCTCATATGTAGATAATCCCAAGTGTCTAGGAGCTAGAGCCTTGCTGAAAAAAGTAATAGGTTTGCCCTCTTGCATTAGTACTGCCCCCATCCCTTTAGAGCAAGCATCAGTCTCAATTATGGAAGACTTGTTGAAATCTACCAATGCTAGCACAGGTGCACTGGACAATGCCTGTTTAAGGGCTTGAAATGAGCTCTCAGCCTCTGCATCCCAGTGAAAACCATTTTTCTTCAGCAAATCGGTTAAGGGTCTGCTTATAATACCCTAAGACCTGATGAATCTCCTATAGTGAAAACTTGGAGCTCAATGGAGATTAGAAGTCATTTGGATTAAGCTTTTGTTCTTAGAGTGAATTTACATTCTCAATCGTTAGTTCACTTGTAACATTTGACAATCCAATAAAATTCACCATTTCAGTCCCAATTTGCATTTCAAATCATTAGTATATTACAATTGGTATCAGAGCCCTTTATTTTATTGAAATATCTCAGCCGTCCACTCTGTCATGTGCTTCTCACGTGAGGTTTTATTTCATTTACCTAATTCCCTTCTTCAACAACAACATCCCAGTATAATCCCACAAGTGAGGTCTGGGGAGGGTAGTATGTACGCAGACTTTACCCCTACCCGAGGGGCAGAGAGACTGTTTCCATGAGACCATCAGCTCAAGAAAGCACCAAGTAACGATATATTAGTACTATTGATAGACTCATAATATAATAACATAAAATACATAACAACCAAACATACAACCAAACATCGGTCATATAAAATGAGACAAAGAGAGTATACTATTCATACCAATAGGATGGATGGTGAGAGCGGGGAGGTTAGAGACAGCAGTGTGTTTACTAAGGAAGATAACCTCGTCGACAGGCTGACCAGTAGCGTTCTCCCAACGCTGATCCAAATCATCTTCTTCCACAATGCCTTTGTCATGTTCTAAGAACCTGACATCATCATTGCTGTAACTTCTGATGCCTTGATCTAAGGTGGGGCCCGGTTGCCACCCTGGCATAGCTAACAGCTCCTTCGCTGGGCCCGTCGATGCTGGATCCGTCGTCGTTGCCACCACTAGCTTCACCATTTTCTCCGCCAGTTTTCTGAGCTCGAATTTTTTCGCAGAATATAGTTTGGCGTTAAAAGATCCGATGGTGGTGGTGCGCCACATTGGCAGTAGTTAGGCTCTTTTTGGTTAAAGAAAAATAAAATAAATTATTTTTGTCCAGAAAGATAAATTACCCTAAAATTACTTAGGGGAAATTTTGGATATAAACTCAAGTTTTTTAAAGTCACGAATTCAAAACTACAGAAGAGTAGCCAAATTTTTTTTTGGTCAGAAAGATAAAATATATTAGTAATTAGTAATTGCCTACGTAGGGTTGGGGCCTAACTGGCTTCCTATCACAAAACATTGTTCTATTACAAAGCGTAAGTTACTACTAGTATATGGTCATCGTATTGGCATTATCATCATGACAACTGATTACACACAAGGATAGTTGATTCATATTGCCACTTTGATTTTGCCAAGCTATTGAGTTCCTTCCAAGCAAGTCTTGTCCTTTTCAAAAATTTGTGCAACAAAAATGGGAACAGCTTCAAAAAGCCTTGGCGAATATTCATTTCCAAAATTGTAGTCTGTCTTTGCTAGTTGATCCGCTACCATATTTTGCTCTTTGTACGCATGTCAGATTACATGATTACCTAGTTGGCCCAGATAATGCCTGCAATCAGCAATTATATTAGAGAATGCAATATTATCAGTATGTAATAGTATGGTAATATCTTTTGCATCCACCTCCACGTAAGTTTGGAAGAGTAGCCAAATTAAGTTTGGAATGTTTGAAATCTATTTGACAAAAAAAATGAAAAAAAAGTTTCTTTTTCAGCAAAGACAGATTCAGGATTTAAATTATATGGGTTTAACTTTTAAAGTTTAGCATTAAACCCATTATATTTTTAAATTTATGGGTATAAATCTACTATTTTTGTAATTTTAATGAATTTTTACACATAAATTTTTACTACGCGTCGAAAGTTATGGAATTTTTCTGTAGGTATTTTCTGTTGGAAATGGGAATTTAAAAAAGTTAAGTGCTCTTGGCCTTTTGGATGAAAAGGAAGTAAAATATTTTTTTTTCCTCCCAATAATTTTAGGGTAAATTTGATATACATTCGCAAGTTCTTTAAAATAAAAAAACTTATCCAGGATTTAAATTATATGGGTTTAACTTTTAAAGTTTTTAGCATTAAATCCATTATATTTTGAAAGTTATGGGCATAAATCTACTATTTTTGTAATTTTAATGAATTTTTACACATAAATTTTTATTACGCGTCGAAAGTTATGGGTTCAATTGAATCCGTTTACCAACCTAAAAAAAAAGGAAGAAGAAGAGATTTAAACAAGAACAGCAAAAGGCGGCTCACAAGAATTCTGTTTTGTGGGAATTTTTCTGTGGGTATTTTCTGTTGGAAATGGGAATTTAAAAAAGTTAAGTGCTCTTGGCCTTTTGGGTGAAAAAGGAAGTAAAATATATTTTTTTTCCTCCCAATAATTTTAGGGTAAATTTGATATACATTCGCAAGTTCTTTAAAATAAAGAAACTTACGACTTCATAAACTACATAAAAGTAGTCCAAAAGGAGGAATTTAACATCAACAGCAAAAAGTGGATGACAGGTATGGTTCTAGTTTGTAAAATGTTGATGCCCAGGATGGAACTGGGGACCTTCAGTGTGTAAGACTGACGTGATAACCACTACATGATAACCAATGATAACCATCACACCAACTAGCTGATGCCTTAATCCATGCGATCCTATTTGTTTGTTAAAATGGTGTTTGTTTGACATTTTCCAAGCAGAACTTGTAAAAAATATAGTTCTCATATTGTAGCTTGAAAGGTTAGTTTAAGTAAAAAAAATCTTTTAAATTTTCTCATAATTTAACGTATTTAGTGCATAAAGTTTATTTCTATATTTTCTGTTTAATATTTTATATTATTAAGGAGTAACTATCATTAGTATATATTTTTCGTCAAAACTATTATTTGAGTATATAATTATCATAAATATCAAGTATATGAAATGTAGTCATCTGAGAGGAGGACCTACGTGGTGGTAGGGGTGTTCAAAATCGATCCGAAACTGAAAACTGAGCCGAAGCTTAATGGCTTACTGGTAACGGCTTAACGGGTTAACGAACGGGGAACGGATTGAAATTCTTTTATTTACGGCTTATCGATTTGGGGGCNAGGCCAATAAGAACTGCCATGCTCAGGACTATAGGAAGTACCAAAACCTTCTCGTGCGTACTTTCTGACTCGTCTAATGAATCCCCAGGTGTTCTGCTACCGCTTGCTCCAGTCGCTGAGGCATTGGCCTCAACCTTCACAAATAAAGTTGAAACAGGATCCTCAAATCC